AAGCAAGTCCTCTGTGGAGGTTGAACCCCTTTATCGATCAGGATGGAGTGCTTAGAGTAGGTGGACGGCTCTCTTCAGCTGACCTTCCATATGATGAAAAACACCCAGTCATACTCCCAAAGAGACACCATGTGACAACTTTGTTAGTGAGACATCATCACCAGGAAGTTGCCCACCAAGGTCGCCACTTAACTGAGGGGGCACTTCGCTCAGCCGGTTTGTGGATAATTGGCGTAAGAAAGCTGGTTTCTAGCTTGATCTATGGATGTGTCATATGCCGCAAACTCAGAGGAAAGCCTCAAGAGCAAAAGATGTCTGACTTGCCTGAGGATAGGCTTTGCATAGAACCCCCGTTCACCAGAGTTGGTCTAGATGTCTTTGGACCATGGAGTGTAGTGTCACGACGAACAAGAGGAGGCACAGCAGAAAACAAGCGATGGGCAGTGTTGTTTACGTGCCTAGGAACACGAGCAGTGCATATAGAGGTGATTGAATCCATGTCCACCTCAAGCTTTATTAACGCCTTAAGAAGGTTTTTTGCCATACGAGGACCTTCCAAGGTTCTCAGGTCTGACCGTGGAACCAACTTCGTCGGTGCCTGTAGAGAGTTAAGGATCTTTACAGATGACTCAGAGGTCCGAAATTACCTTAGTAATGAAGGCTGCTCATGGACCTTTAATGCACCACACTCATCCCATATGGGAGGCTCATGGGAAAGAATGATTGGTGTTGCTCGTCGGATCTTAGATGCCATGCTGCTGCAGTCTGGGCCTACCCGTCTTTCTCATGAAGTCCTTGTCACCTTGATGGCAGAAGTGATGGCAATTATGAATGCTCGGCCATTGGTTCCGGTGAGTACAGATCCAGAGTCACCGACAGTCTTGACACCAGCAATGCTTCTTACTCAGAAAGCAAACGTTGTGTCTGCTCCCAAAGGGGTGTTTGACTTGAAAGACCTATACAGGAAACAGTGGCGACATGTCCAATGTTTAGCCGACATCTTTTGGAAACGATGGCGACAAGAATATTTGACAACACTGCAGTCCAGAAAGAAGTGGATCAATGACAAAAGGGACATGCAAATCGGAGACATTGTCTTACTGAAGGATGACCAAACCAAGCGAAATGAATGGCCTATTGGTCTCATTGTTAAGAACATTCCTAGTCAAGATAATAAAATCAGAAAGGTGGAGGTTAGGGTTGTGAAACAAGGTGCTCCACGGATTTACCTACGTCCAGTTTCTCAGCTCATCCTTCTGTTCCCCAAGGAAACTATAAAGAAAGACTGAGGTATACAGGAAACTAAAAAGTAAAGTAAAAGACGGAGTGGTATAAAATACTTTATACCAGGCGGGGAGTGTGTTGGTATAACTTTAATGTGGGAATATGCTTTTGTTTGTATGATTTGGCACCCTCTTGTGGCCACAGTTGGTACTTGGGAAGTTGTTATGCCCAGCTAGTTTGCTACAAGTGCTCAGTGGAGGTGAAACTTTTGCCCACGCATGCCTGTAAGTTTTCATTACATACTATAACCTTAACTATCTGATTTGTGATGCATGTGTAATGTGCATATACTGAGTTACTATTTCAGCTGTGTGGTCATTACTCATTTGTAAAGCTACTTGTGTGCTAGCGACTGTATATTAGCATGTGTTTGCTAACTTGCTATGATCAATAATGCTAGTTAACGGAAGGTGATGTTTATGTTTAATTTAGGCAACCTTAAGATTTATGTTTTTTGCTGGTTGTCATGAAAACTAAGTTTCAATTAGTACATTATGTATGTTCAGTGAATGAGAAGGTAATTATCTGTTTTGTGTTTATTTAGTTTTACAAAAAGAAAAGAGAAAGGAGAGTAATGAAAATGGATAAAGGATACCATGTATAAGAAGCCTCAGTAACATGGCCTGTAAACTGGAGATGCAGATCGAAGTAAAGAAGAATCTCAGTTCAAAGCATTCTCTTCTTCTCATTCTGTTCACTGTCTGTCAAACTGGATAAGCTAAATCACGCCCACATCTAGTGAGGACAGAACAATAGTATTCACTTTTTTGAGTGAAAAAAAATGATTTTGTGTTTGTTTGTTTTGATTTGTCTTTTGCTTTGGTTTGTCTTGGATGGAAATGTTTGCAAACCGGATTTTGAAACAATGTTATAGCAAGCAAGTGTAACAGATGAAATATAACCTGACATTAATCTGGATTAATCTGGAGAATTTTTTTTATTATACTGTTTGAAATAGGAGTCTGCCACAGTGCAGCAACACGATTATTTGAGAGAGTAAAACACTTTCAAAGGTTGTGCTGAACAGTTCCTTCAGTAAATGGTATATTTCTTAGAATGAGAGGTAGAAGATCCACTGCCATTTTTTGATGACTGTAAAAGCATTGTATTGGGTCTTATCATTAACATACACTATCAAACCAGTCTGGCAGGTTCATATGCATATGAACACACCGATCACATGTATTGAAATCATTTACCTGTGATATCAACACAGTTATTGGAGTGTCCTACAGTGTTTTGTATGGTACTGGTAATGCTCATACTTGAATGCAGTGCCATGTATTAATGTGCCAGCTGAGACTGATTAAAGATCCTTTCTGCTGACCAGATCAATATCCAGAAGTTTAATTAACTTGATGCTACACTCAAATATATCATTTTTTGAGTTGTACATAACAATAAACATTAAGTTGTGACTGCAGCTGTAACTGGTATAATTTTAAAATGACACCATTACAGGGCTCTGGGGGGACTCCTTAGTATTTTCTCCAGTGTGTCATGTACGTTTTCTTGCAGGGGGAAGCCACTGCTATCACATATAGAGCTGGCAATAAGGGTTTTATGTGCTCTGCATTGGTGTTTGGGTGTGTGGTACATCAGGCCTGAATATAAATGCCAGAAATTATTCTTGTCACCTGTCAGTGGTTTTAATGTTGTGTCTTATTTGCATTATTACCACAGCAACATTTCCTAAATGAGCCATTTTTTCCACAACATGTATAATCACTTAAGAAAAAATGTGTATTTTCAGTGTTCTGTAAAGTATGCTGTTGTAGCCATGTCAAAAGACAGTTAATGTTTCATAATATTTTTGCTGTTTCCCTATCTTCACTTACCAGTCTTCACGAGAGCAGACAACAGCACAATTTTAGTCACTGCAGTCAACACAACGAGCGACAATACAACATCTAGCCCGCCGGACAGAAACTCTACTACTATAACTCCATTCACTTCAACTGCTTCCCTCACAATCACAAACGGCACTGCTGCAACTACATCAACAAGTCTAAACACTTCAGCACCTACAGGTACAGATTGTTTCTTGTTGTTGTGCCAAACCTTCTTCTTCATATACATTTGCTTTTTAAATTGTGTTCCTGTCACCCCCGTATTACTACATTTCCAGTCATAGTCCAAATATAAATCATTAAATTAATATTGTTGTAAATTGGACCCAGGGAGCAGAACGCACGGAGGCAGAGTTGCGGTGAAGACAGTTTATTTACAGTGATGGGGAGGTTTTACAAGGACAAAGTATGTATAATAGCGTATGAATGGGGACGCGGAGCCAGGACGTGCAGGTGACGGAAACACAACAGGTAGTGCACTTGATCTAAAAAAGGAGAGGGACGTGAGAATTAGGAGGGTCTTGCCTAATAACCGACAAAAGCTTAAAGTAGACTTTACAGAGAGTTGAAGAGCCTACTTGGTACTGTTTATTGCCAAAACCACCAGATGGAAACAAACCAGACGAGGGAAAACCCTGGGGAGGAAACAAAACTCCTTACAGTCACCAGAAATAATCCAACGGCTCCAGCAGGCAGGGGTAGAATTACAGACTCTCCCAAAACGTCAATACTCCGACACTAGTCTTCTGTCAGGTATACGTATATGTGTTTGTTACTTGTAGTTATTACTGCCTGTTACCTGTGGTAATGCAATTTATAATTTATATATTCTGTATTCAGTTATGAAGGCTCTAATTGTTGTTTGCGAGCTGCTGTTTAGATGCTTGTATGTGCCCGGGGCTGTTGATGGGTCTGTATGCAATGATGGGCGTAGCTGTGGGAAGTTTGGTTTTTTTTGTTGATGAGTGAGTATAGGGGTGGGATTTAATAAGTTTTCTTCGTCCCACTCCTTTTTCAGGCAATTTTTGTTTTTTGTTTTGTGCATTTTATGTTCAATATAGGTATTTGTTGTGCCTGAAAATGAACAAATAAATGAAATGAAATGAATGAATGAGGTAGCTCCTAAAGAACACTTCTGAAGAATGCAGCTGATGAGTAACAGGTGTGCCAGGTTCAGTGACTCACTGCCCCGCCTACCTATACAAAAAGGGAGGCACCAAAAACACATACAGACAAAAACACCACATAACCAGAACCCAACTCCTAACATCTTCTACTGTTTTCCTGAAAAAGTCATATTTATTCAAGTTAGCTGCCCCTCATATGTTTTCCCTGCTTGTCCACATGTCTCCTGTTCTGGCTCTTCTCTCCACCAATTTGGCCCTCCCCACTGGATTACTATCTTTGAAAATCTTTAAAAGCTTCACATTTTCTGTCATAATGAGCCAAAGCTTGTTTGTTGTCAGTTTTTAAAGTAATCTGGAGCAAAGGTTCCCAATCTTTAGAAATGTTTCATTAGACAGTGGCTTTCACTCATTTTCCTGAGGGATCCTTAAAGAAATTAAAAGAAAGCTTGCCTTCAACACTTCATGCTGTACCAAAGAATAAAGGTGAAAGAATGAATATTAACTTACAAAGCTCATACAAACTTCTTTTGCCTCATAGATCTGATTGTTAAAAATATGTTAACAGTAACATTTTCTAGCTAGTTAGAAATGCTTTCTAAATAATACCGTGCATGAGCTCACATGAGTCCACCTCGCGCATACTGCCAGACAGTGCATATTTTATATCGGTCTTTATGTGTTGCAGTTGCTACAGGTTGTTCGGGTCCACCAGCTCTATGTTGCCCAGGGCGCAACGACGCCTGCGGAAGAGGGTGTTACTGTGACGAGTACTGTGTGACAGCGGGTGACTGCTGTCCTGACTATAATCCAACCTGTAAACAATGTAAGTGAAGAAAAACACAGAGACTAGAAATATATACACAGTTTTAAACATTTACATTTTGATTACAGATGTTTCCACTGCACTACCAAAAAGCTACAGCTTCAATAAATATCATAACAGCTTCTTTGTCTATGATTTCTTTCACAACAGCAAACAGTACAACACTTGCACCACTTAATGTGACCACAACCTCAGGATCCAGTCTTTCTTCAACATTTTCTCCCACCTCTAGTAATTCAGCTATAGGTTTGTCACCATTTGAGAGCTATATCAAAAATTCACATTTAGACAAAGATTCCTTCATTGTATGTGTCACTTCTGAAAAAAGTGGCAAAACACCAAATGTTTCAACTACTTTAGTTTGCAGGTTTAATTACATTCTAAATGTGTATTTCTTTCTTTCTGCCCAAATAGCGATTGCTCACCTAAAAGTGTCCTTACTATCTAATTTTGAAACCAAAGAACGAGCGATATCAGAAATTTCATCACTTGTAAGTACAAACATTCTTAAAATGTACACTAAATGTTACAGTGAAAAAAAAGCACAACATGCATTATTCATACTTTTGTCAGTAATCAGTGTCATCTCTCTCATAGCTTCAGAGACTCGTGCAGCAGAGATGTACTGGCTGTGCTGTGACGGTAAAGCCCGTGTGAGGCTTTGGACAATGAAAGCATGAATTAGAATGAAGCAACACGGTGATGACAGACTCCAACACTCACAATAAAATCTAATTAAACCAGTAAAGTTAACTGACTGTTTCAGAATGAATAAAGTGACAGACACTTTTTCTCAACTAGTAGTATATGCATGTTTCTAAGTTCTTATAATCTTAATTTAAGGATGTATTACACAGTTATGAATCTTTACCATATATAGAGATAAAAAGTTTTTTTAGGTGGAGGTACAAGATTTTTTTTTTAAATAAAGTTTAATAATGGAATAATTTTATTTTTTTTAAAAAGAAAAAAATTCTGACAATCATTTGACAGAAGAATAACTCACCATACAAATCCAGTCTGCTCTGGTCAAGGAAGGAGACACACTGCCAAACATGTTTGCATTAGCCTACTGTATTTTTTTCTGTGTTATATTAAGTTGTGGAAGTTGAGCGGCTGCAATAAAATTATAACGCATAATTTAAAATGTAATATTAGCAGTGCAGTTAGAATTTTCCAGATGATATGTGCTGTAATTACATTAAAGTAACTAACATGTTATAGATCTGGTGTAATTTCTTCATTTTTTAATTCCTCGCCTCAACACGTTCTCACTCCCAAAGCGTAACATTTTATGCTAGGTGACAAATCGTCAACATATTACGTTTTCAGCTACCCAACACGTTCCTAAATGACGACCTCAGAAAAATGAGGAAATATGAGAACCGCCTGGACTCAATCGACACATGTTCGCTCTTTTTCTTCAAATCGCTTGGAAACACGCTATTTAACATCATTAAAGTCCTGGTTAAGGTCAGGAATAAGGTTATGGTTAGGGCTGGAATACAGGGCTGGAACGTCTATTACTCCGGGAGCGTCATTCCACTGGATTTCCGCCATAACCCGGCGCGTACCGCGAAAGGAAACCTTCCGCGTTCCTCAGGAACGCCGCAGGACGTGACAAAACGTCGGCATGTTACGCCTCGGGAGTGAGGCCTCACCTGCTAATAAGGGCAACCAAGGAAAACAACATTCATGACTTAATCTCTTCTACGTCTGTCATGATTAATGTAATCTTTTTTTAAACAGCACGTTGATTATAAAAAAAAAGTCTTTATTTGTTCATCCATCCATTCGCTTCCGCTTATCCTTTTCAGGGTCGCGGGGGGCGCTGGAGCCTACCCCAGCTGTCATAGGGCGAAAGGCGGGGTACACCCTGGACAGGTCGCCAGTCTGTCGCAGGGCTGTCAAATTGTTATTTCTCTTCTTCCTTCTTCTGTTTAGTTTTCTACCGTTTCTACAGTAAGATAGGAGATAGGAGAGAGGAGAGCCGGAAGGGGGCGCCCGATCTGGCTTCCCACACCCCCCCGCCGGATCGGGCTGTACGCTCTACCTCCCCACTGCCTCCCAGAAAAGGGAAGAAGAGCAGAGGGGAGAAGAGTGGAATATTTTCTTTTCTCTCACAGTTAGCTGACTGCCTTAGCTGTCCAAGTGATGTCAGCCCTTTTTAGCCATAGCTAGTGACTGGTCCTCTCAGCAGTGTTAGCTAATTCTCTTATAGCCTGCTGTTGCACCTGTCCTCTGATCCCAATCTCTCTAAGCAGTTTTGCTGTTGTACTGGCAACAATGCCCCTGCATCCCACCTCCACCGAGCGCACCTTGATCTTCCAGCCTCTGTCCTCTGCCTCAGCTCCGAAGTTGGCATACCGCAGCTTTTTATGCTTAAATGCTTCCTCAATTGCTTCCTCCCATGGTACCGTCAGCTCAATGACGTATGCAAGTTTTTGGGAGTTAGACCAAAATATTCACTGGCATGTCTGTGGCATGTTTTGCTTTTGTCATATTGATACAGGAGGGATGTAGGACCAATCAGATGCATTCTTGGCATTGCATTTATGAATGCAATTGTAAAAATCCACATCCATTGCTTTTCATATTATTAATGCCACCCTTCTGCACAATCTGGGCACTGGGTTATGCTTATAGCAGGAGAAAATATTGCCAGTAACTAATCTTTGCCAGCAGATGGAAGCATGTTCCCAGGTCTATGAAGTTAGCGGCACAGATGTTAGCGCAATACTCTATTGTAGTTATACTTTTGTGTGGTTTTTGTATTGGCACATTTCTTTCTTCAAAGTATATTTTCTTAAACTCTCTTTTAAAGAGTTAAGTGAGCCAAATACATCCAGTGTTGTTTATCCAATTTTCAAAGCTACAATAGAAGTGACTTTATAGTTTTTCTCAGTCGACTTGTCTCAATTCTCATAGCATAAAAGTCATCTTTACCACTCTTAATGCATTTTTGAAAAACAGTAAGGACATTTTTCATTACACAAAGTAACCTATGCAGAATACACTACATAAATCAAAACTTTTTTTCTCGTTTTTCAGACCATGAATCGTCAGTCAGTCACTTTAACTCTGTGATGAATAAATTAAAAAACCTTTAACCGCCCATGTTTAGTGTTGTTTTCTTTTTTTCTAAAAACCTTAATGACTTCGGAAAAAGGTTTTTACAGGTCTAATGTAGAGTTGAAAAATTGATGAAAAAATAATAGCGGTGTCAGGGTTGGTTGAAGAAGGAGCCAAATGCAGGTCTTTCTGAATGAAATGTGTTTATTTACAATGAAAAGAAACTATGAAACATTGCGTGGGTTCCCAATCCCCGTGCTGTGATTTTACTCCTTGATGTGTGGTGAAGTTTTGTCCTCCTCGGTGCCTATGTACAACAGTGCGCTGCTCCCTCCACACGTTTCCGCAATCCACCTGGAAACAAGAGATGCCACGGTGAGTACAGTCACATCCACCAGCCGACAAAAACACTTTAACTATTCCAACAGCTCAGCAAGAGGTGAGTGATTATCCTCAGGTGTGTCTGGCTCAAAGGCGGGAGACTCTACAGGCCTCGTGTGGCAGCAAAACTCAAATGCGTACACAAATTATCAGTCCTGTGAAACCTCAATTCATGGAAGTGTATTTTAAAATAACTATATAGAATTCTGCCACTGTCATTGTGATTTGAATTGTCAGCTTAACTATTATGTTATGGATCTTCAAATAGGGAGCCCCAAAACAGGAACTGGAACTGGTTTTCTATTTAAAAAATCATAGTCTCTGTGAGTGTTACCCAGTGGGCAACGCAAAGCTTGGCTGGAGCAAGAAAGGAGACTCACCCAGCTCTAATTGTTTCTCAGCCCTCCAGATGTCGATCCTGCTGCCTCTGAAGGTGTGCTTGCCAAACTGTCCCTCTGCACTTGGTAACTTATATGGTACCTGTCTCTTCACATGTTGCCTCCTGTGAGATTCCTGACACCCCTCCCCCACCCATCACCTTCACTCAATACCAGGTTGAGATGCAAATGAGGAGACTTCACTCAGGCAAGTCTGCTGGACCAGACGGAGTGAGTCCCCTTGTCCTCAAGGCCTGTGCCCCCCAGCTGTGTGGAGTCTTTCATAAACTGTTTATGCTGAGTCTGAGTCTGCAGAGGGTCCCGGTGATGTGGAAGACATCATGCCTCGTCCCTGTACCAAAGACGCCTCGTCCCAGTGGCCCCCAGGATTACAGGCCCGTGGCACTGACCTCCCACATCATGAAGACCCTGGAAAGGCTCATCCTGGACCAGCTGCGACCCATAGTAAGACCACATCTGGATCCCCTTCAGTTCGCTTATCAGCCTCGTCTCGGAACAGAGGACGCCATCATCTACCTGCTCAATCGTGTCTACACCCATCTGGACCAGCCGGCGAGCACTGTGAGGGTCATGTTTTTTGACTTTTCCAGTGCTTTCAACACCATCAGGCCGACCCTCCTGGGTGATAAGTTAGCAGCGATGCAGGTGGATGCTTCTCTGGTGTCCTGGATTGTTGATTACCTGACAGGAAGACCACAATATGTACGTCTCCCACAGTGTGTGTCTGACAAGGTGATTAGCAACACAGGGGCACCACAGGGGACTGTCCTCTCCCCCTTCCTCTTCACCCTCTACACCACAGACTTCAGCCACTGCACAGAGACCTGCCATCTTCAGAAGTTTTCTGATGACTCTGCGGTGGTTGGATGCATCAGCAGGGATGATGAGACAGAGTACCGGGCTGTGGTCGACTCCTTTGTCACGTGGTGTGAGCAGAATCATCTGCAGCTCAACGTGGCAAAGACCAAGGAACTGATCGTGGACTTCAGGAAGACCAGGAAACACTTGACCCCTGTTTCAATCCAGGGGGTCAGTGTTGACATTGTGGAGGACTATAAATACCTTGGAGTACACATTGACAATAAACTGGACTGGGCTAAAAACACCACAGCACTTTACAGGAAGGGCCAGAGTCGTCTCTATTTTTTGAGGCGACTGAGGTCCTTCAACATCTGCCAGAAAATGCTGAGGATTTTCTATGAGTCTGTGGTGGCCAGTGCGATCCTCTATGCTGTTGCATGCTGGGGGAGCAGGCTGAGGGTCGCAGATGCCAACAGACTTAATAAACTGATCCGTAAGGCCAGCAATGTTGTGGGGATGGAGCTGGACTCCCTCAAGGTGGTGTCGGAGAGGCGGATGCTGTCCAAGATAAAGACAATGTTGGATAACACCTCCCACCCACTCCATGACATGTTGGTCAGTCACAGGAGCTCGTTCAGTGAGAGACTGAGATTACCGAAAAGCACCACTGAACGACACAGGAAATCATTCCTGCCTGTGGCCATCTCCCTGTACAACGCATCCACTTAACACACTGTTTGCTGCTACAACTACACATGTTTCTTTTCCAAATATTTATTTATAAGTGACTTATGTATGTATGTATGTATATATATGTATATATTGTACTATTCTTAGTTAGCGTATTGTCTGTCTTGTCTTAATGTTGGTTTAAAATGGAGCACTGTAACAAAAAATAATTTCCCCCAGGGATCAATAAAGTATTCTGATTCTGATTCTGATTCTGATTAAGTCTTTAGGCTGTGCTGTAATAACAATGAAAAGTTTATATCTTTTCTGATTCATAAGGGGGTTAAAAAGGAAAAGTTCTCAATTTACACTTTTTGATCATTCAGCATATTTTATTATGTTTAGCAGGAGCAAAGCAAATTAAAATCAAATTATAAAAATCACATAATCAAATCACTTGAATTATACTCATATGATTAACAGCTAATGCTATTTTGAGACAATAGGTGGTAAAGAGAGAACGGACATATCAAAGCTAGTCTTCTGTTCTGCTTGCCTGGCAGGAGATGAAAAGAAGAACAAGTCATTTCTTCTGCACAAAACTTTTATACCTGGTCCTAATGTCCCACCTCTTTCACAGCATTACATCTTCTGAGATAACATCTGGCTTTACCCGCAGTGACATCGAATCACGAGAGGCCCAGCCACATATCATCGCTCTGCATGTGACCTTACTTCAACATGATTTAAAACAAAATTCAAAATCACTGCATTTTCTTCTTTTCTATATCGTACTTTAACATGATTTATCAATAACTTTATCACATATGAATATTCTGTCAGGTGTGCGAAGGCTGTACCCAAATGCAGGACTTTCTACGTAGAACACAGTGCGTTTTTTT